ACATGCGTCTGCCGCTTTAAATTCTCGAGCTCGTTACAGCAGGATGGATTCTGATTGGCTGTCAATTTTTATCGTTCATCAGCTGGAGAAAAATCGTTTTGAAAGTGATTCCAACGATATCGTTTCTCTTTGTCTTTATCGTTATAGTTGTGGTGTGGACTCTGCTATTCTTTAATATGGAGAACGATTTTTACAACTATATCTTTATCGTTATCTTTATAGTTATCGTGCTTGGTGTGAACGGGCCTTTAGTCTGAAATGTCTTACTGAGATGCTTTCCTTTGCTCCATATGTAATTGTGATTTGGGATAGTTTCTCTATCAAAAAGTCTTTGAAAGCCAGTGTTAAACCCGACTGAGTCATGCTCCTGATGCTCATTTATATACTTGTCATTGTAATCAATTATGTATGCACAACCCTCATTTACTTATCAGCATTTTTAATTTTCTGCCTTTATATGTAGCTCACCATATCAGCGTTTCATGTATAAACATTTATATGTACATTTGTAAAATTATTTTTTTGTGAATCAACAGGCCTCATTCATGAAACTATAGCAGATTAAATTTGCATGTAAATATGATCAAATAAACAATATATAAATACATCTATTTTATATAATGAGATATACAAAATGATTCTTTGAATTTACATTTTGAACAGATTTGGTGAAATGTAGCATTACATCACTCGCTCACCAGTGGATCCTCTGCAGCGAATGGGTGCCGTCAGAATGAGAGTCCAAACAGCTGATAAAAAACATCACAGTAATCCAATACAATAGTCTTAATGATGTATTTGTTTCAAACACGCAGCCTTTGGCTTCATTAGATGTTAATTGTTGGTCTGGAGTCGTGTGGATTACTAGTGGATTATTGTGATGTTTTTATCAGCTGTTTGGTCTCTCCTTCTGACGGCACCCATTCACTGCAGATGATCCATTGGTGAGCAAGTGATGGAATTCCTAAAGTTCTCCAAATCTAAATTTCTTGGATGACCTGAGGGTGAGTACATTTTAAAAGCTAATTTTCATTTTTGGTGAACTATTCCTTTAATTCAAATTGCATAATAATATATTTTTATGAAATATTTACACATAAATCTGTTATGCACATGTTTCACGAATGAGGCCCAGTAAGTTTGAGTCACTATGAATGTTACAAGGGCACTTTCTTGATTTGACTTGTATCTGTAGTTATGAATGTTCCCAATCCAGTGCAATTCAAATCCGATTTATACATTGAACAAACTATACATTGACAGAATTACCAGTTTAATAGCTCAGACCTCCCGTTATGACTGCTGGCATGTGTTAATGTATCGTTTTATGACAGCCTCTCCAAACAACTTGTCATTTATGGAAGGACGCTGTGCATTCATCCAGAGCTGTAAAGCTGTGCTTTATGTTCAAAGCCGCCTGCTTAAACACTCTTTTTATCATTGAAATGCAAAGTTGCTAAAAGATCCTCTAATGTCCTCTTCTCATAGATGCGTGAAGGTTGAATTGAAGCATCAGTGAGGACGGGTGGCGTGTGGAATATAGACACACAGACAGCTTTAAAAAAAAATGAAATATGGAAGTAAGAGAGAGAGTCTGGTGATGCTCCGCTGCATCTGGTTTTTGAAGGCAGGAAAGGCAGCAGAAGACTATGTGC